ATCTGTTGAATTGAAATGATTCATTTATGTGAATCAGCCTATCACTTGAACATACTCTTGACTTTTGTGCACATTTAGGTGCAGTTGTGTTCTGCTACCACCAGAATAAATACATCAGATCACCCATAAAGCTAATTTCTCCCAACTCCATCTCCAGTCACTCACTGGGAACCCTCCAGTCCCATGTTTTCAGTTATTCACAGGACATTTTTAACACATTTCTTGCCATATCCTCAAATTTTATGTATCTAAAGTTGAACCTCTTGGTTTACTCACCCCAATTTAGCTATTGCTTATCCACCTACTCACTTACCTGACTATTGGACTGCGATCCAATCCCTGTAAGTTTGCCTGTCTAGCTGGAGATGATTGTGGGCACACTCAGGGCCAGTTCAGTCTTGTCCCCCATTCCTACTAGTAGTACTCTTGTTTACTGGATTTAGAGGCTGAAGATTTTAATTCCATTCCTTAGCATTCATGCTTTCTCTATTCTGTTGGAGGCTTAGAATAGATAACGCTGATTTGAAGTTGTAAGGCATTAAGGAACTACCTTGAGAAGCTCTGGAGACAGCCCAACTTTGATTTTCCTCTCCCATCTTGCACAAGAGAGCCAAGTTTGATTTTTTCCCCATGCCAAAAATGGAACTTACGCTATGTCTTCTACACAATAATGTAGTCCTTCAAGGCAAAGATATGGTGGTCTTGTGCTATCTTTTCTTTTTGTGCTTTCTTTTTTTTTTCTTCTGTTCTCTTTAGGGAGTGACCTTAATTCAGTTACTAGTAATTAATTTACTAGTCAATGAGAAGAACATGCAAAGGACTCAGCTCTAACCTCTAGAGTTTTATGGTTAGGACCTCAGTTCTATTTTCATCTTGAAAGGAAAGGAGTAGTGTAGTCCACAAACCAAAAAGAGTACTATTAGCTTATCCAGCACAGGCAGAATCTGGTTTGTCATATATTCCAACCTATCAGGGCCCAGGAGGGATGCTGGCCCTCTTTTCTTCATTCTTCTTTTTTGAGGAAGATTAGCCCTGAGCTAACATCTGCCGCCAATCCTCCTCTTTTTGCTGAGGAAGACTGGCCCTGAGCTAACATCCATGCCCATCTTCCTCTACTTTATATGTGGGACGCCTGCCACAGCATGGCTTGACAAGTGGTGCATAGGTCTGCACCCGGGATCTGAACCGGCGAACGCCAGGCTGCCGAAGTAGAACATGCAAACTTAACCACTGCACCACCAGGCCAGTCCCATTGGCCGCTTTTTTTAATTCTCTCAGCAACTCTTCCTCTGATTTCTTTTGTGGGTGCCACCTCTGGGGAATTCACATCCCCTACCTTGTGGTTGGCAGAGAAATACCTTCCCCCTTTGACCTATCCTTTCTCCCCAAACTCCAACCCACCCCCATGGCCCTGCTTTCTCTTTTATACCCTTTTGCTTCCTACTCTCAGAGTTTCTCCTTTTTTGGTGAGGTTTATCAGTTCTTTTGTTCTAATTCTGCTGTTTTGTTCTCTGTTGGGGTGTTGGAGCCTGGGAGTCTGGTGGGGAGAGAAGGTGAATTAAAAAAAATTTTTTTTAACATAAAAATTTTAAAAAATTAAGAAAAAATTTAATAAAAGGAGGTCTGACCTCAAGGTAAGACATCTGAAAAAAAAACCTTTCACACTTTCCAAATTAACAATTCTATAGTCATTTCCTATGTGATGCTTTACTAAAGTAGTGTCTCTCTTTGTCATCCAGCCACAAGACTCCAAGAGGAGGAACAGAGTAGGGAAAAAAAAGCCATCCTGTCCCACCGTTGAAGGTGGCAGTCAAAGCAGCTAAACAAGCATAGGTTTACACACACATACAATCTTTATCTGTGTCATTTTACCAAATTAATTGAGGGATATCTTACAAAAAAGTCTTTGCCTATAGCATTCTCTCTGGAAAACATTCCATAAGTAAGCAAAGCAAGACAAATAAAAACAGTACAACAAGGAGTATGCACTAGGCTCGGTTCTGGAGATTTCTAGAAGGAATTGTTCTGGGACTTGACATCTTTTCAGCAGCCCTGGAATCAACGGCAACTTGAAAATGATCATTGTGAAGGTGCATAAGAGCAGAGAGAGCTGAAAAACTGATATAACTTGAGTGGAAATGTTTTATAGTCTCTCATGTGTCGGTGTCATGTCTTTAATTAAATTCCAGAACTAGCCCACTTTCATCTATCTTGGTGTAAATATATGCTATATAGTTATCAGTTCAGCATCTCTCTTCCTTTGGGAATTCTGAAAATCCAAGAATTCAGACCATGGTAAGAAACTAGGGTTTAAGAACTGACAGTATACCTGCTTTTTAATAGATCACCTATGTCTGATCTAATTCTAGAAACAGAAAAAAAGGGTCATTAGAAGAATACATGTTGGCATCTGTGGTCTAGAAAGTAAGCAGGCAGTGGCTGTCTGTTTCATTTGTCATCCTTACTTGGAAAAAGCTTATATTCCTATACAGTATGTTGTTATAGTAGTTTAATAATCTACTTATTATTTGGAAGGTAGCAATTTAACTAGATTCTAGATATTTGATAATTCTTTGTTATGAACTTCCAGCTGAAAAACACCTCATGACTCCAACTTTTTTTCCTCTCCTTGCAGACTCAGTTATCAAGTTATCCTAAAATCCAATGATGGATTTGGATGATTTGTTGGAACAAATTTCTATTCTTTACTATCTCTTTTCTCTCTCTGTGTCATACCTTTATTTTTGGCTCTCCTTTCCTCACCCACTTTTTTTTTTAACAACTCAGTTATAAGTGTCCTTAAGTAAATTCCTACAGATAGACGTACATCCTAATCAATCATGTGAAAACACTATATGAAATATAAGTACCTTAGAAACAATAATTAACAATTCCCTTCTTTTTAATTTTTTCTTGTTGCCAATCACTTGAGAAAAGTTCTTTCTCTGTTTCCTTATTTCTCTTTATTAGTGTACCCTGTGGAACAAGATAGACCATAATCATGGCTAAGACATGCAAAAGCAGTACCAGGTATATATTTATGAGAAAGAAAAGGAAAGCCATAGTTTTAAAGAAGTGATGTTACACATAATTGTCAATGACATCAATTTGTACAGTCTTGAAAGACCCTAGAAGTCAATCTTTAGAAACCTCATAATCGTAGGGCAGTGGGCAATATGGGAAAATTAGCTTGGGGTCCAACTGGGGAGAATCTTAAGTACCTGACTAAGAAGTTCGGACTTTTTCCTAGTAGCAAGGGGGATTCACTGAAGTTGTTTTGAGCGTGAGAGATAAGGAAAGCATATTTTAGTAAGATTAATTTGGCATAATTATGCCTAATGGATTTGAATGGGGAAAGACAGAAAAGAGTGAAGGTGAGTTAAGAAGCAACTGTAATAGTTCAAACTTTAAGGGAAAGGGTCTGAATTAAGGTATCTGTAGTGGGCATAGGAAAAAAGGTTGATTCAAGATATTGCATGGGAAGAATCAGTTGAACTTGGTGACTGAATTTGAGGTGGGAAGGCATGAAACCAAAAGTGACTCTCATTTTCTAGAATATGGTTGCTTGGGATAAAGATAGTACCACTGGCATTAATGGTGGGGATGATGATGAATTTAGTTTTAAATGTACTGAGTTTGAGGCTGTAGTAAGATACTCAAGTGGAAACATCTAGGACGTGGTTGGGAATTCAGGACTGGAACTTAGTAATCAAATCTCAATGTAGAAATTTGAGAGTTATCCAATAGGGGTTGGAATTATAATTCACTTTGAGTCAGTTAAGTAAATTTAAAAAAAAAATACTGATATGCCTTCTATAAGAGTATATGATATCCCTAAGCAAATGTATATAGTAAGAGAAGAGCAGAGAGTTGAGGACTTAAATTTGGAACTTTGGATAATTCACAACTAAAAGATAGAAACAAACCGAGAGCCAGTAAGAAAGAATGAGAAATGGGAAAGAGAAGTCAAAGAACGAGGAGAACCAAGATAATGTAGCCTAATAAGGGCCAAGGGAGGAGGAAATTTCAAGAAGGAAGTTAAAGAGAATGAAGACTGAGTAGATGCTGCGGGATCTGACCCAGAGGAAGTAATTAATACTCTTCATGTGACCAATTCACCATTAAATAGTGGGCAAATAATGAAGGTTATTTTTTGTAGTTCAATTCAACAAATATTTATTGGCTATCACAGATGTTTTCCCTTTCACTTTCTTAAATTGAGTAAAGGTTCACAAAGCTCAGATCTGTTAAATGTGGTTTCTTTGAGTGATAAAGGAGTTAAAATTTGGGACAAGGTTGATTCCTAAGAAGGAGCTAAAGAGGAATTATCATTTATCGGTATTTATCATTATATGGTATATATACCGTATCATTTTGGTATATAGTATAATATTGAAAAATGGGAGTAATTTCAAGGAGTTATCACTATCTTGAGGAATCCTGTTCAACCATATTATACTAGCCCATGCCTGGCCCAGATCATATTCTACCAACTGAATATGATACTATTTTTAAGATTATTGTTTGGTTAAGGGGTAGGCTTAAAGTATAGGTCATATTAAAAAAAATGACTGCTTTTGGAATGGAAATCTTTGAAATTTTGTTAGATATAGAGAGATTTTATTCAGCTTAAGTTCCATTTCTACTTAAAAATAACCCTGTACTAGCTATAAAGAAACTAAACTTTTATAGCTGATCCTCTAGGTGGAGCATATAGTTTGTTATCAGAAGATACTGGTTTTTAAAATATTCACCAGTTTCACCTCTAAGTTTTAATTATTCGTTGCTTAGCAGCACTAAGTGTGATCTTTTCACTTCTCCAAATGTCACTGAACTCTGCTCTCCTTATGCTCTGTGGTTCTGTCCTGAATAGAATCAGCCCGGGAGGGGCTTAAAAGGACTGGAGAGGAACGTTTGGGCAGTGGAGAAGGAAAGCTCTCTAGAGATAGCTTCTTACCTCTTTTCTCTGGGAAGATTTAATTCTTGGAATTTTATTACAGAAGCTGAAAAAACAATCTACCAAGTACAAGGCAGAAAAAACCTATCCCACAACTGTGGCTGAGAGGCCCGAGAATATCAAGAAAAACAGATATAAGGATATCCTGCCCTGTAAGTTTCATTTCTTCCTGTGAACTTATGGCTTCTCCCAAATTCAATCATTCCTATCTCTTTTTACCCATTACTTGCTGTTCCTAATCCTGGAACACGGCTTTGACAAATCAGTTTGTGCTATTTATGATTACAAAAGAACATTCATTCATTCATTCACTCACTCACTCTGATCAAACACTTACGAGTATCCATTATTCACAGTTAGTCCCTCTGACTAAACCCTCTTAATTATACTTCGTCTTTCTTTTGTATTGTAGATGATCACAGCCGAGTAGAGCTGTCCCTGATAACATCTGATGAGGATTCCAGCTACATCAATGCCAACTTCATTAAGGTACACTCCGTATTCCGTATTTCTCTAGGTACCTAAAAAAGGGCGGGGGTAGAATACTAGACAAAAAAGAGGATATTATTTGTAGTCACGCATGTAATTTCTGTTCTCCTTTAGGGAGTTTATGGACCCAAGGCTTATATTGCCACCCAGGGGCCCTTGTCTACAACTGTCCTGGACTTCTGGAGGATGATTTGGGAGTACAGTGTCCTGGTAAGTAGTGCTGTGTTTGTTACTATATTCTCTAGCTTTTAGGGGTGGAGAGGGTAGAGTATCAGGATATGTGACTGAAGTTTCCTATGTATTAAAATCCGTACTTTTTTGGTCAGTCACTAGAATTGCGGGGTTCAGGCACCTTTAGTCAAAATCACAATGTCACTCTTGTTAAAGGAAATGAAAGTTCTCATCTTGACACGCTCACTTGTTAACTTTATTGATTTGAATACAGAAAAGGGAAGTGAGGACAAAAAGAAGGGTAGGAGCAACATTTTATAATTTATGAGGATTTCTTTTTTGGTTAAAAAACAAACAAAATAGGGGCCAGCCCAGTGGCATAGCGGTTAAGTTCGCACACTCTGCTTTGGCGGCTGGGGTTCTCTGGTTGGGATCTCGGGCCTGGACCTGTGCACTACTTATCAAGCCATGCTGTGGTAGGCATCCCACATATAAAGTGGAGGAAGATGGGCATGGATGTTAGCTGAGGGCCAGGCTTCCTCAGCAAAAAGAGGAGAATTGGCAGCAGGTGTTAGCTCAGGGCTAATCTTCCTAAAAAAACAACAAACAAACAAAACCAACCAGAAAAAGAATAATTAAGACTTTCTGACCCTGGGACCCAGGTATTAACTGCTCTTTCTAACTATATTAATGTTTAAGAGTCTATCTATAATTTTGTCCCTCCAGATCATTGTTATGGCATGCATGGAGTTTGAAATGGGGAAGGTGAGTTGCTTTCTAGAACACCTAAAGGTAAAAGAAGGGAGAAAATTGGTAGCAGAACTTTTCTTAAGTGTGCCAAGGTAAAAATTATGCTCAGCCTCCTAGTTTTCAGTTTGAGAATGCCAAATGACTCTCAGGGCTTTTTTACCCTATGAACCCCTTTTGTCCATTTTCCCAGTAGACTCTGTTTTGAAGTAAAAATAAGCTATTCTTTCTAAAGTAACAATTCATTTTCACATTTGTATTAATCAGACATCTTTAACTAGTCAGAGCTTCTAACACTATGCTGTCCAACGAGGCATCGACTAGCCACATGTGACTGTTGAGCACTTGAAATATGACTGGTGTGATCAAGGAACTCAATTGTTTTATTTATTTTATTTTAATGAATTTAAATTTAAAAACTGATACCCAATTCAGTTATTGGAAAACTTTAAGTATGTTTGGAACAACTTGGGTATGTGATTCTTTCAACTATAAATTTTATGAAGTCTAAATGGAATAAAATATTTCCAATGAAAATTTAGCATATTACTTGAGATTAGCTGTAAATATAAAATATATACTGGATTTTGAAGACAGGTTAAAAAAATGTCAAATATCCAGTAACTGTTAATATTGATTACATGAGGTTTTTTAAGTCAGTACTTTTTTGTGTGTGTGTGAGGAAGATTGTCCCTGAGCTAACATCCTTGCCAATCTTCCTCTATTTTGTATGTGGGACACTGCCACAGCGTGGCTTGATGAGCAGTGTGTAGGTCCGTGCTGGGGCTCTGAACCTGTGAAACCTGGGCCACCAAAGTGGAGCACACAAACTTAACCACTATACTACTGGGCCAGCCCACATGTTTTTTGATATGTTAAAATTTCACCTTTTTTCTTATTTTTGAATGTGGCTATTAGAAAACGTAAAATTACATATGTTGCTCACATTATATTTCTATCGAACAGCACTCTTCTAACCTACTGTTGCCATTTTGAGTTGATATAATTCGAGTTAAAACCAAGGGAATTTGATGTTTCAGTTACCTCATGCAGCTTTATTTTAGTGGACATATGATTTTTGTCAATGCTTTTGAAATACTGAAAATGTCAGATCCCTATTTCTACTTATTCAGACTTCTAGGAAGTCTGTAATTTATATATCCTTTAATGTTTGTCTTCCCATCCTTGGAGGTTCCAGACCATGATGTTGGGGTTGAAGCCCACGGGGGTTAGAAGTTCCTAAGGTGAAGGACACAGAGCTGAATTTGCCTCTGAATGAGGGAGGGGTTTTGTTACTCAGAAGAGACTAGAATATACGGAGGGAAATCACTGCATTCTGCTTTTGCAACAGAAAAAGTGTGAGCGCTACTGGGCTGAGCCAGGAGAGATGCAAATCCAACTTGGCCCTTTCTCCATATCCTGTGTAAGTATGATGCCTGTTTCCATTGTGGCTAAGCAAATGCTCCAGGATCTACTTTATAGTGAATAATCTTTGAATATTAGTCTTTGAAATAACTAATATTTGAATTTACTTCTTAGGAAGCTGAAAATAGAAAATCTGATTACCTAATCAGGATTCTAAAAGCCAAGTTCAACAGTGTAAGTATAGAATAGGAACGGTAAACTCAAAAGCCTACAGAGGTCAGACAGGTAGATGTATATGTATGTGACTCAGGCTGGGCATAACACAATGGGGAGTTGTGGGGTCTTTGATGTTCTGGATAAACTTTTATTTTCAAAAGAGACCATTGGTGTAATCTGTACTCCCCAATCTATTTCACGTCATGGCACACCTCTAAAAACTATAATATTCATAGGGTAAATAGAGGCTGTACAGTGACTAAAGGCTGGGAACCAACCTGAGAGGTCATGCTGCCCACTCTTTCTAAGACAAAGGGATTTAATATATCAGCATGCCTGTGACCCATTTGAAGCAGACCAGTTGGGAAGCTCTGGTTTGGACTATCTTCATATATACCTCCTCTTGTGAGTGCGGCAGATAAGGACAGGCCAATAGTAAGTGACTTGAAATCACTTTTAATTGTTCTCAGAAGACACATCATCACCAGTGGTCTAGAGGGAAGAAAGCAGCATAAATTGCAAAAAAAGATATAGCTGCTATTTAGTCAGAGTAATCTTGTAGTAGAATGAGGTGAAGTTCTAACCTTGAACTCTCCTTTCATCCTGGCTATTTTTTATAGGAAACTCGAACTATCTACCAGTTTCATTACAAGAATTGGCCAGACCATGATGTGCCTTCATCTATAGACCCTATTCTTGAGCTCATCTGGGACGTGCGTTTTTACCAAGGGGACAACAGTGTTCCCATATGCATTCACTGCAGGTATGATGCTGTTGTGTGAACCTTCTATGAAGAATAAACCAGTGTCACAGTCTGGCCAAGACTCTTGCTGTAACTGAAAAAAGATTGACTTTGTTGGAATTTAAAGTGGTATGAGCACATAGGATGTAGGCTTCTGAAATGAGAGTGGCTAAAAGAGAAAGGTCAATTACAGATACAAACTATAATAAAATCAACCTGAGCATTAAATTAATATTTTTATGATGTTACTTGTGAACAGTACAGCTCTAGAGACTCTTGCTCTGAGAAGCTCCTTAGGATCTGTCTTGAGGCTCAGTGTGGCATGTGGCAATTGACAAACATGCTCTGGGAAATGGTAGGGTTTAGAAAGTTTCAATGTCTCCAGGTTTCTTCTTCCTCAAATCTGTTGGTGAAAGTTTCCAGGTACTGTCAATGATTCACTCTCTGCAACTATACCTGCTACTGTGATCTTTCATTTCAGTGCCGGTTGTGGAAGGACTGGTGTTATCTGTGCTATTGATTATACATGGATGTTGCTAAAAGATGGGGTGAGTTTCTCTCAGCAGGCACTTCTCATTTTCTTACCCTTCTACTTGTAGACTTAGGAAATGTTTGGTTCTTCAAAACATGTATCTCTATGATTTATCTTTTCTAGAATATTCACTTGTAGCCTCACTTTGTCAGATGATTAAATTAGTTCTTAAGTTGGTGGTTCTCAAAGTGTGGTCCCCAGACAAGCAGCATCAGAATAACCTGAAAAATTGTTAGAGATGCAAATTCTTGCGCCCCACCTCAGACGGACTGAAGCAGAAACTCTGCAGGTGGGGCCCAGCAAGCTCTCTGGGTTGTTCTGATGCAGGCTATAGTTCGAGAGCCACTGTCCTAAATTACATAGTTACCTTCCTTTATCTAAATTGCTTTAGATGGACTTAATTTACCACAATCAAACTTTGCATTCCAATCTATAAATCATTTTTTAAAAGTCTAATAGAAAACTGGAAATTTAAAATATGGACTTTAGCCCTGTCCGCCAACTTCTTTTATTTCATAAAACTCTCATAATTTCTCATCTACTGAGCCTTCTCCCTCATTATATATTTAACTTCAGCCATTTGGTCACCTATGTGAAATCATTCTGAAGAGTTTCTTCAGTCTTTTCTAGGGAAAACACCAGGCTCTAAATCATGATGCAAGTGATGAGAAACCTCATTAGTTTTAGAAATGAATTCTTTTTCTGATATTATTCCACGTTAGGGAGCAGATACCTTGGAATTAACCAGACTATGAGAGCATGGCAATAATTTATAACAAAGATAGGAACAATAGAGTAAAACGTTTTTTCCTTTTATTTGATAGATAATTCCTGAGAACTTCAGTGTTTTTAGTTTGATCCAGGAAATGCGAACACAGAGGACTTCGTTAGTTCAAACTAAGGTATGGACTATGGCAAATGGGTCATAACAGATGTCTCAGTCTTGTTGCATCTCTCTGTTTAATACTAAGACATCCAAAAACAGCTGACTGCTTAGCTATAACACCAATTTGTTATTAAGTGTGTTAGTCCTTTCCCATTTCCTCTAACTCTGAATATCCCAGTATTTTTCATGTATCCCTTGCCTTAGGTCAAATTCCTCTCATTCCTCACATTTTGTTGTCTGTTCAGAAAATATTAAGAAACCAATATAGGGGTCAGCCCCGTGGCTAAGTGGTTAAGTTCATGTGCTCCTCTTCGGCGGCCTGGGGTTCGCCACCTGGGATCCTGGGCGCAGACCTAGCACCGGTCATCAGGAAGTGCTGAGGCGGCATCCCACATAAAGGAACTAGAAGAACCTGCAACTAGGATATACAACTATGTATTGGGAAGCTTTGGGGAGGAAAAAAAAGGAAGATTGGCAACAGATGTTAGCTCAGAGCCAATCTTCCTCACGAAAAAAAAAGGAAACCAATATAGTATTTCTTACAAAGGAATTTGAAAAAAATGTAACAAGCTGTTTGACATATTAGAAAGAAATATCGGGGTCAGGTTAACTTGAAATATTGTAGTAGTAATTAATTTCTGAAACCACAGAAAATCAGAGATTTGTAATTTCTACTTCAGGAGGTGGTAACATAACCTGGAGAATACATTCTCTATGCTCATTTTAGGAAATAATGAAAAAATAAAAATAAAATCAACCTAGAAGTAGCCACTGTTACTATTTTTCTATAGTTTCTCCTGGACCTTATTGTATGCATATTTAAAAAAAACCATAATTACAGTCATACTATATGTATAATCATATATGTATCACAATATTTTAATCCATCCCAAATCGCTCATACTTGTTCACTCCATTAGGAATGCTCTTCCCTATTTTCTCCTCTCCCCTCTAGCTCAAGTTATACTTCTTAGGTGAAACATTCCCAGCCTAATCTCTCACTCTCTACAATATTAATTTCACCCCTATTTCTACACCAACAATTTTACCCACATTTCTAAATGGTCTCCATCCTTAAGATAGAGTTTAGCATTCATCCATTCATTCATTCACCAAAAACTTATTGATATTTAAGAGGTAACAGACATTTTTGTGTAATTTGTTAGAACTACTTTTTACTGCTTAAATAGCAAGACCCTAACGTGCTTAAAGCACTTACAAACAAGCTTGCACATAGGTTTAGAGGTAAAACAATTGACAATGGCAGTTCAGGTATTTTCATCTAGAAGTTGTGACTTGAGAAAAAATGAAGAGCTTTTAAAATACAAACTTTCTACTTAGCCCACACAGGTTTTCCACCAATAGCGCGTGGAAAAAAATAATTTGTTTTTCATGTATTGACTGTAGGTGTTTTCTATATTCAACCTGTGAGGGGGAAAGTTTATGTGAAATCAAAGCACTGGTTGGGTTAGTGCTGTCAGACTTCAAAGGAGGCTGATCCACATAAATGTATAAAGACTCCAGGAAGTATGCAACCTAGTTGTACAATATTAAATTTTAACACTGAATCAATAAATAAAACAATACCCCATTTCAGAAAAAAGTCCATTCAGGCCTGCTTCTAAGAGTTGGAAGACAGCTGAAACAATTTTAAATTAGCCTTCACATTCTGACATTATCAACAACTAGCTGAACAAATATCTTACAAGTTCCAGCTAGTTTTTCTGACACTAACCAGAAAATAGCACCATAACCAGATGACTGCTTCCTGTCTGATTTTTCTCACTTCTTAAAAAAATTAAAGAGTGTATCAATGGCCGTGTTGGGCATTATAGGCTCTGCATTGTTCGCCTGTTAAAATTATCTTTGGAAAAAGTTGTACTTTATTTGTACAAGATTGTGTAAAGTGGCAGGGAAAACCATGAATTGGCCCATACAGATGAAGAGTAGATCCAAAATAAAGTGCTTGAGCAGGTACAGAGGCAAAAACGTAGTAGTGAAAACCCATAAACCTTGTAATTGTAGGGGTCTTATTTCTCTATGGTGAAGTCCTTTCATAACCACAAACTATTCAGCAGTCTACTTTTCTTTGGTATCTTTGTTAGGTCAGGATTTCAGCAGCTTGATCTGAGTGCACTAAACTAAGGGTCAGAAGATTCAGGTGCCAACCCAAGTCCTGGAAATTACTTCTGAATGATCTTGGACAAATTGTAAACAGAGATAATAGCCTAGCTACTGTATACATCAATTGTGAGTCAAGTTAAATAATACATATCGAGGCTATCTGTCTACCCATCAACCACAATCTATCTACCTTTTTCCAGGAAAGATGAAAGTGACTTACAAGAAAATGCATCCAGGATGAAATAAATTTTTTAAAATGTGAATAAGGAAAACAGAGGGATGATAGTGTAGGGAAAGATAAGAAAGAAAGTGGGGTTAGAACACAAAAAAACATGCTGCAAGGTTCTTGTATATTAGCTAGAAGTAGAGCAAATATTTAGTTGTTTCTAGAAGTCTAAAAGTGCTCTGAAATCTGAAATGGGGTACACAAACATAAGGCATTGTAATTAAACTAATGTTGATGGTCTTTTCAGGTCTGCTACTCTAGGATTTGATTGGTGTTCATATTCCTGAAATCTGGTTCTGTAGTTCACCAAGTTTTTTGTTTGTTTTCATTTGTTCTGGTTTGTGATGCTGTTCAGGAACAGTATGAACTGGTCTACAATGCTGTATTAGAACTATTTAAGAGACAGATGGATGTTATCAGAGATAACCACTCTGGAACAGAGGTAAACTTTCAACTTAATATTTTGTCAATTATTTTCATATTTGATTTTGGTCACGGGATCTTAGGTTAGTTGCAGGACTTAACTTATTATTTATCATCACAACTAAAGTGGAGTGTCAGGTGTGCATGGGCCTGCATTGCAAATCTCTGGTGGAGAAGGACAAATTAATTGAAGTACATTAACTTAGAAAATTAACCTCTTGGTTAACCTATTGCATACAATTTTAAACTAAATTTAGAAACAAAAGGAGTGAGCAAAAGGGAAAGTGTATATTCTGCTCCCATGTTTTAGACAGTTGTATGGTGAGTTAGAAGTAAGAGTGACAATTACAAAGAGAAATCATAGTTGAATACTGATGTGATTTTTCAGGTTACTCTAGCCTCAGTTTGATTGCATATGTCTCATCAAATTTTGAGAATAGTTTAGAATATCCAAAAGATTTTTAGTAGAAGTTATTAGGTATAAAACAATTATGATTTGACCAAATTCCAAATAAAAAATATTGAGCTTTCTAGAATATGCTATTTTGATCTCATCACAGAAAAGTGTAAGTCAAATCCTTACTGTGTAATTATAAAGTACTAGGTTCTGAGCAAACCTTAAGAATACAAACTTACTGATTTACCTGCCTTCCACATATTAGTTTAATTTTTAATATCCATTTTGGATTATTAATCTGAAAGTATTCACTGAGGACCTACTGTTTTCACAACATCAGCAATACAAAGTATATAAGACATGACCCTGATCATAACTCCTCTCAGTTGAATGATGAAGCATGGGGACGGAGAGAAAGTCAGAAAAACTGTTGAGGCTAGGGAATGAACTAAGCAATCTTATAGTTGTCTACTCTAAGGAGAAACAATGTGGTAGAAGGACATGGAAACAAAGAGTACAGTTGCCAGAGATTGTTACTTATATCCTATTCATGCCCATTTCATTGGCTAGTACTCCCAGACCATGATTAAATAATAAAAGTGATATGGACAACCTAATTTTAATGGGAAAGATTCTCATGTTTCGTTACTAATTATGATGCTGACTTGATTGGAGATATTTATTTTTTAATTGTTTAAGGAAAGTATTCATTGATTTCTATTTTACTAAGAATTTTTTCCAGAATGTTGAATTCTGTCAATGGCATATTTTTGTATTTATGGAATGATCACATAGATTTTTCTCCTTTGACCTATTAATACAGTCATATCATTGAATTTGTTAATATCAAACTATCCTTGTAGTCTTAGAATAAACCTTTCTTGAACAAAGAATATTCTTTTAATGTGTTGCTGGAGAATGTGGGCTAATACTTTATTCAGGTTCCAGGAAGTGTCAATACTCAAATTTAGCCCAATAGCAGTACCATGGCTCCATATGGTTGGGTTTTTTGGAGTGGGCCCTTAGTCAGTAAATGGGAACATAGGAACATGGTTCAACCTCCCACAGAAGGTAAATGCTAGCCAAGGAGGAATTCTGTTTCTGGGAAGATCTAACAGACATACTTTTCCCTCTACCTCCCACTAAGTGCCAGTAGAAACATTGGATATTATATATAAAACAAATATAAAAAGACTCTGAAAGATGGAGAGAAGACAGACTAGCTAGGGACTTGGGACCTGAGGAAAAACATGATGGTGAGTTCTTTAGGTTTTCTTTTGCCTCATATATCCCAGACTTGAAACTGAAGAAGTCAACAACTTGGAAATGCCAATGGTGCAGACAAAAAAAGCCCAAACAAAAGCCTGCTCTCTCTAGCCAAAGGACCAGGAAAGGGGCAGCCCAGCAAGACAGAAAACTTTTAGATAACAATCACTCTACTTCAGTCAACACCAAAGAAAAAAATGGCCCCTAACCCTACCCATGCCAGCAAAGGCTGAGTGGGGAGCCTAGATTCCCACTCTCACAAGACTGTAATAAAGTGCTGGAGTGGTATCAGAGAAGGTCAAGTAAAGAGCTAGGACTTTCATCTCCACTGGCCTGCAATGAGGTTTCCCTGCAGTGTCAGTGGAGACCCCATGGGGAGCCTGAGCTTCCACCTGGCAGTAACATGGCACCCCAATGCCTCCCCACTGAAGTAGTATCAGAAGAGACCTAGTGGAGAGTCAGGACTTTCACCAGCATCCAGCAGTAATGAGACCATCTCCACCACAGTGTCAGTGGAGACCACATGGGGAGCCTCTCCCATGGTGTATCCCCTTGGGTGTCAGCATAGGCTAAGTGAGGAAACTGGTGGAGGTAGACTCCACCTGGCATTAACAAGGCAATAAAAAGGCAGCACCCCTCCTTTTCTTTCCCCTGTCAGAATGGAGTAAGAAAAAAAAAATACAGCTGAAAGAGAAGGTTTAACTAGGATCCAGAGCCTCGTAACAATACAAAAATGTCTAGGTTTCAACTGGAAATCACTCATCATACCAAGAACCAGGAAGATTTAAAACTGAATGAATAACACAGTCAATAGATGACAACACTGAGGTGACAGAGATGTTAGAATTATCTGACAAAAGTTTTAAAGCAGCCGTGATAAAAATGCTTCAACAAGCAATTATAATCATGCTTAAAACAAATTAAAAAATAGAAGAGACCAGTAAATAAATATAAGGACTCAGCAAAAACCTCAGTAGATATAAAAAGAACCAAATGGAAATTTTAGAACTGAAAAATACAGTAGCTGAGACAAACAGCTCAATAGATGAACTCAACAGCAGAATACAGAGTACAAAGTAAAGAATTAATGAAGTGGAAGACAGAGCAATAGAAGTTGCCCAATCTAAACAACATAAGTAAAATAGACTGAAGAAGAAAACAGAGCCTTAGGGAACTAAAGGACTATAATAATAATTAAAAAAAAAAAACCCCAACATTTGTGTCATTGAAGTCCAAGAAGGAAAGGAGAAAAAAGGTGGGGCTAAAAAAGTACTGAAAGACTCATCATAATTAAACTTCTGAAAACTAAAGACAAAAGTTCTAGGAAGCAGCCAGAGAAAAATGATCTTAACTATAGGGGAAAAACAAGAATGACAGTGGATTTGTGATCATAAACCATGGAGGCCAGAAGGAAGTGGCACAATACTTTTCAAGTGCTGAAAGAAAAGGACTGTCAACCCAGAATTCTACACTCAGTGAAAATATCCTTCAGGAATGAAGGGGGGTAATCAAGACATTCTCAGATGAAGAAAATCTAAGAGAATTTGTTGCCAGTAAACCTACTCTAAAAAAATGGCAAAGGAAGTTTTCTAAACAGAAAGGAAATGATGAAAGAAGGAAGAACATGATAAGCAAAAACATGGGTAAATGTAATAGGTTTTCCTTCTCCTCTTGAGCTTTCTAAATTGTTTGACGATTGAAGTAAAAATTATAATACTGTCTGATGTGGTTCTAAATGTATTAGAGGAAATATTTAAGACAATTATATAATAAACAGGGAAGGGTTAGAGATGTAAAGGGAGGTAAGGTTTCTATACTTGAACTAGTAAAATGATAATACCTATAGACTGCGATAAGTGTGTATATATATATATATATACACATACATATATGGGGAGAGAGAGAGAGAGAAAGAGAGAGAGAGAATGTAATACATACAGCCACCACTAAAAAAGCTATACAGACATACCTTAAAAACCACTATAGGTAAATCAAAATGAAATTCTAAAAAATTCAGCAAAGACAAGAAGGCAGGAAAAAGAAAAGAGAAATGAGAAACAGAGAGAACAAAGAGAAAACAAAAAACACAGTGGCAGACTTAAGCCCTAACATATCAATAATTACATTAAATGTAAATGGCATAAATACACCAATTAACAGACAGATTGGCAGAGTGAACTGAAAACATGTCCCAACTATATGCCATCCATAAGAAACATACTTCAGGGGCCAGCCTGGTGGCGCAGCAGTTAAGTTGGCCCATTCCGCTTCTCAGTGGTCTGGGGTTCGCCGGTTTGGATCCCAGGTGCAGACATGGCACCACTTGGCAAAAGCCATGTTGTGGCCGGCATCCCACATATAAAGTAGAGGAAGATGGGCATGGGTGTTAGCTCAGGGCCAGTTTTCCTCAGCAAAAAGAGGAGGATTGGCAGTAGTTAGCTCAGGACTAATCTTCCTCAAAAAAAAAAAAAAAAGAAAAAGAAAAAGAAACATACTTCAAATATATAGGTTGATTTAAAGTAAAGGATTGGAAAAAAGATATAACAAGTAAACATGATTAAAAGGAAAATAAGAGTAGCTATATTAATATCAGATAAAGTAGACTTCAGAGCAAAGAAAATTATTGCAGACAGGGAGGGACATCATATAATGATAAAAAGTCAATCCACCAATAAGACATAGCAGTACTAAGTGCATATATGAACCAAAAAGAGCTGCAAAATATGTGAAGCAAAAACTGACAGAACTGAAAAGAGAAATAGACAAATCCACATTTATAGTTGGAGACTTTAATACCCCTCTCTCAACAATTGATAGAAAAACTTGACAGAAAATCAGCAAGAGGATAGGAGAACTCAACAACAACATCAGCCAACAAGATCAAATCAATATTTTAGAACACTCCACCCAACAACACAAGAATACACATTCTTTTCAAGTGCTGATGGAACACATAGCAAGATGGACCATATCCTGGGCCATAAAACAATCTCAAAAATTTAAAAGAATTGGAATAATATAGAATGTATTCTCTGACCACAATGGAATCAAATTAGAAGTCAGTAACAGAATGAAAACAGGAAAAGATCCAAACAATTGGAAACTAAACTACACCCTTCTAAACAATCCACTGAGTCAAAGAGAAAGTTTCAAGGGAAATTAAAAAAAAAAATACTGAAGTGAATAGAAATGAAAATACAACATATCAAAATTTGTGGAACAGAGCTACAGCAGTGCTGAGAGGGAAGTTTATAGCACTCTAAATGCATACACTAGAAAACAGTAAAAGTCTGAAATCAATAATCTAAGCTCCTACTTTAAGAATCTAGAAACAAAAAGAGACCAAGATAAACCCA